TCTTGATTGGTTTATCCTTTGGTTTGCTCTAATATAAAAGCTCCATGCTGTTTGGCCAAGAATATTATGCAAAAGGTGGCGTACTTTAGCTGGCACTTTATTTTGAAGCTATTATCAGTTGTTATGGTTGTCTATATCTTTAGTACTCTTGTTGGGCCTGTTTTAAATGTTCCATGATACTTGACTGAAAGTGTAGGCTTAGAGGAAAATGGGCACAGTTCATTTTCTTTATGCATGTGCGAGCTTCTTTTTTATGTTTTTATCGTGTCTATGCTGGTATATTGAGGTTTGAGGGCTGTTTTAGCCCTCTGGGTTGTGATTTTCTTTGCTGCGCGGGTAAGTTGAAATTTCGGGAAGTGTTTTAGCCCTCCGAGTTGCGGTTCACTCGCTATATTGGTTTAGCATTGAGGCCTTTGGAGTTTTATGTTGAAACTTCATTTTTGTGCTCCTCTGTTGCCCCTTTGTTTGAAACATATACAGGTGAGTTCATTTGATTTTTGGGACTTTGTTTCGCTGCTTCTTTTCTCCCCTCTGTTCAAAATATATAATGTATGGTCTCCTTTTGATTTTGGGGGCCCATAGAGGCTTTGTTTGGGGCTCTGTTTTACTATTTTCCTGCTCCCCCTATGTCTGAAACATGTATGCAAGGTTTTAATTTTTTGGGCCCCTTGGAAGTTTTATTTTGGGGTAGGGCTATTGGATTTTGGCATGTTTCCTTGTTGCCCTTCTGTTTGCAGCATATTTAAGTAATTTCATTTAATTTTGGGGCTGGTGGCTTCTCCTTTGTTGCTCCTACCCGAGAACACCTGCTGGTTGATTGTGTAGGTTGCTGCCCTTACCCGTGAGCATCCCAGCTCGTTTTCTCTTGTGGCTTGGTTGTTCCCTGCTGTCTTTGGCTGTGAACACCTGTTGTTTGGTTGTGTGGGCTGCTGCCCTTACTCGTGAGCATCCCGACTGGTTTTCTTTTGTCTTATTGGGTTTTTCCCTGCTTCCCCCTGGTTGTGAACACTTGTTTTTGTGGTTTTGGTTTGCTTCCCTGCCCGTGAGCATCCTAGTTGGCCTTCTTTTGTCTGCTGTCCCTGGCCATGAACACCGGGGTTTGGTTGTGTGGGCTGCTGCCCTTACCCGAGAGCATTGGGTTGATCTCCTTTTTGTGTTGGCTGGCTGGCTCCCCTACTGTACCTACTCGTGAGCACCTGCATGGGTCCCTTGATGTGTATTGGGTTTCATACCTCATGGAAGCTCTAGTTTAAGGTGGAATTAAGGGCTTGAAATATTTTAATCCTTATGCTTGGAAGAATTTTTGGACGTCCCTTTTCGAGGAATGATCTATTAAATGTTGGGAGAGAGTCTAGAGCTCAATTCTTTGGGCTGAATTGATTTCAATATAAAAAAGGGAGGGAGAAAAGAGCGATGGGAATTTTTTTTGGCATTTTTGGGGAAGGTTTGGGGGTGGCCTAAAGTCTTCTATAATGTCTTTTAGAGATGTGTTGGAGTTAGCATTGGGGAGCATTCCCCATTTCATTGCTCAATCGAGAAGTCTCACTGTTTGAATATTTTAGGCCTACCACTTTGGCTTTCCTTTCCAAAATTAATCTTGGAGGCTGGTTAGTTTTCTTTTGTTTTTCTAGCTTTTTGGTTCATTTTTCTTGTTTCTTCGTTTGAGTTTTAGGCGCTTATGTCCGAAACATAAGTGCTCATGTATAGCTTCGGCTATATATGAAACCATCAAGCAAGGTTGTAAGTTGAACGGTCTTTTTTTAGGCTTGATGATAAAGACATTCGATGGTAGAGCGGAATAATACTTCATCCTACGACCTTGAGACCCAATTCAGAAAATTGGTGAAATGTAGGATGACAATCTTATTCACTGACACCAGACTAGCATGACACTCTTGCCTCCTCAGGTTGTTGGTGGTCCCAGCCCAACGGTACGATCGACTTGTGGACAATCATATTTTATAAAAAATGATAAAAATAGTTACGATAAGAACAAATACGTTATTTACAAAATTATTTTGACTACAAAATATATATTGTTTTCTCTTATATGCATGAGACCTATATACATGCTAAAATATAAATTTAAAGTAATATAATCCGATTATCCACTTGTCAATTGTCAGTACCGGGCTAAAGAGTACCCTCCTAAGTTGGTATATTAGGACACATTTCTAGTTGAATGTCGAACTCTATATATACGTGTGACCGATAGTAGTCTTCGTAATCTCTCGAGAATACCTAAATCTGAGCCTAGCCCAACCCGAATGCTTACGGCTTTCTTTCTTTCTTTAGATTTTTGTGTGCTTTCCTACGGTTTTATCGAAATCTTTGTAGAGCACTCGTGATTTTCTTCGAATTTTTCTCGTGTTTTTCGACAGTTCTTCGAGTTATCGTGGGGCATCCGCTTTTTTTCGAGTCTTTTCAGGAGCTGCCAACCCGTCAGTATATAGATTTGTTTTACATTTACAACTTTTATTTTTACTATTGCACACTTTACTGCATATACACATAATTTATGTCTACAATATTACTGTTTACTGTTTATTGCGTTTTGTAGCATGTTCTTGGTTTAGGAGGTAGGGGACTTGCAGGAGACTTTTAGGCTAGAGGACAGTAGGACACCTGGTTTAGGAGGTACCCCATAGCGAGCCACTGACCCAATAATCACATATTTATACGTACCACAACCCCGAACCTATAATCGATATATCAAAGAACTTAGAGTAGTCTTCCCAAGAAGTGGGGCGTGGAAGCAAGCGGACAGGGAGCGGCGATCGAGACCACGACAGCAAGGTGTACGATGTTTCTTTAGAGTTAAGGTTCAATCATAGGATAGTCGGAAAGTCACCGGTGTTCCCACGGATCTGTGATATCCCCTACCTTTCACTCCATTGACTCCTGAAAATAACTGTTCCTATTTTGAGTCATTCCCTTTTGATTTTCTCATATTCAACCTTGGAAATCTAAACTTTTCAATCTTGAAGGCAAAATCACTGATCTTAATTGAGAGTTTTTTTAAGTGATTTCGATCACTTAAGATGTAATTAACTATAGAGGTTTGCCTCTACAGGGAACTTAAGAACCCAACTTAAAGTAAACCTTATTTAATCTCCCGTATTAAATAGAGGAACTTATACGCTTAAAAAAAAATTTCGCGGACCAAACGGATGTCACAAATTTTTTAGTTTAGGTGGTTAAGCCTACCAACAAGTTATATGCATATCTTTTGGGATAGTGTACTACTTGTGGTATCGCGCTCAACCATCTAAACTATCAAATATGTGAGGTCCATGCGGTCTCACTTTTCAAAATTAAAATATTATTTTCTAAAATTATAATCATATATATCTATTAAACTAAATTCAAACGATTTTCGAAATAAAATGGCCGACAATCATCATTTCAACTTTGAAAAGTGAAATTCACCTTTTCATGCATAGATAAAATGACATGTTAAAATAAATATTTAGGTTATAGATATGTGAATGGATAAGAATTACACGCACATAGCTTAGATTGCACATGACGAATCCTCTAAGGACAGCATCACCACTCAAATTCAATGCAAAACCCAAGAATAAAGAAATTAATCTAAAAAAAATTGCTTAACTATGAATTCCACTCAAATATCATGGATTACACATCACAAAATTCCAAAATCATAGTAAGCTAAGCCACAAATACAACCAAAATCAGAGCAACCGAACCCCAGCTAGAGCAACCCTAACCACAACCATCCGAATCTCAACTATGTGACAAAGAAATTTGCATACATAGCACACATTTCCTTTGAACCGAGCAACTCACATTTCCTCTAAACTAATATACAGGGAAAGCAATTTTTATGTATATGCAAAGCTCACACTTAAACATTCAAAATTACACAAAAGGCGACACAGATGTACAACAAACTCTGAAAAATTGAAAATCAAATATCCATCCGTAAATTTGAAATAGATAGCATGGAATGCAAAACTAAAATAGTGTGGATTGTACACCGTAAACAAACAATTAAACATGTCCTTGCATAGAGATAACAGAGAAGAAAAAACGAGAACAAATTACAAAAAAGTTTCTTCGTATGATCAAAACAAAAGAGGAGCAACAAGATAATACATGCGATTCGAAGACAGGAAGACATACGAGAAAAATCGCTCAGTGGTATGCCACATAAAAGTCTAACATGTGATGCTCACAACAAAGATTGGGGAGAAGTCGCGAAGACCAAGGTTATTATCGTGGATAAAATAAGAAAATAATAGAAATGTTAAAGAGCATCGGTGTAATTTACCAATTCCACCATGGTCCATTCCGCGGAACCTAGCTCCGCCTTGTCGTTCTGGAAAACTTTGTTTTATGAATGAGATTTTAAGAAAAGCAGATAAAATGCGGGCTCCAAACAACCGCTAATCTGCTTTCCAAAATGAAAAGTGGCTGGAAAGCTGTCCCAAACAAGTTCTTAAAGGTATGTTACATATGCCTATCATACAAGTTGTACTCAAAATTAAGTTCTTTAGACTTTTCTAAAAAAAAAATTTTTGATGCATGACATTTTTTATCTCTTTTTAGGTTGTCTATTTCTACAGATAAAGCATGCACTCTGATTAGAATAGGTTGAATATTGCTGTACGATTTCTTGACATTCTATTTCTTTCTCTTTGCATGATAGATCTTTCCCTGCAAGCACCTGATTGTGACATTCTTTATTCATTTACTGAATATTTAGACATCCATTTTGACTTTGTTTTTTGGTATTATATTTAGAAAATTCTTGGCTTTTGTCCATATTGGTGGCAGTTGAAACATTGACCACCCTAAGGGGCTCTTTGATAATGGCTTTAAGGCAGAATTTAAGGTGGATTTAAATTAAATCTTCCCAAACTGCCAAAACTACAAATTTATATCCCGGATTTAGTAAAGTCAAAATTTCCTCCCTTGTACCTTAAATTCTGAATTTATTAAATCCTGTTGTTGGTTGCATTGACCTTAAATCCCAGGATGCCTATTCGTATAGAAGCCTAGGAATTTGGAGTTGAGAGATCGTGTGTAGATTCATACCAACAACTACCGCCAAGCTCCCTATGCCTCTTGACTGGTGAGGCCTTCCAGGATCCTGCAGCTGCGTTTTGTGACAACTACTTTCGGAAGAAAATAATAGAAGAGTATTTCCAGGCCCCCTCTATAGTAAGGAGCTCTCTCCAGCTTTTAAATTAGAGCTCACATGAAACTCTGTGCTTCACAACTCCAATATTGGAGTGGAAGGAATGGGATGAGAAAACCAATGGGGAGAGGAATGAAAGAAGAAGCTTATAAAAGCAGCCACAAAAATTATAATTTTTAAATTTTGAATTAACTTACTAATTATCAGTGATTAATTAAAAATATTATGTGAACAAAATTAATGTTAATGAATTAATCTAATTTTCTTATGCTTAATTATATTGAATTTTGAATTATTGCTTAATTCAAATATCATATTAGGCTATATATAATTAGATTATACTAATTGACAGTTTAAAAGATTATATTGAATTTTGAATTATTGCTTAATTCAAATATCATATTAGGCTATATATAATTAGATTATACTAATTGACAGTTTAAAAGATTATATTGAATTTTGAATTATTGCTTAATTCAAATATCATATTAGGCTATATATAATTAGATTATACTAATTGACAGTTTAAAAGTTTTATTTAATGACTAATTAATTGAATAACTACTAACTAATGATTAATATAATAAAAAGTAATATAAAATATTAATATAAATTGTACTAACATAATTAAATCCTAAAGAAGTTGATTGGATTTAGTGTATGTTATGCCAAACAATTTCTGAGATTTAACCGTCTCAAGATATACTAAATCCTACTAGCTTGAATCCCATAAGTCCCCAACCAGCCCCTAATTGTAGCAGCACCGAATTTCATCTTCTTTAAATAGAACACATGGACTTCTTTCCTGTAAGACATCTTTCATATTTTGTTGGGCCAAATATAGATATCCTTTCTACTAATACTCTGTAGAATTTCCTCCATTACATTCTTTTATTGCCCATCTTTTCTAAATTCTGTGTCCTTTGAGTGGTTAATATGTCTTTTGAATCAATTGAGCTTTGTCTAATAGTATGGAAAATTCTTGTTAACCCAAGTGAACTTTAGGTTGTGTGTGATGAAGTCTTTTACGCTTTCTGAGGACCTATAATATTATTTGGTTTTGTAACAAGCTAAAGTGCTTTTATAAATATGGCCATAAATTCTACTTCCTTTTTCATTATTGATTTTTCACCTTCCCTCAATCTAATAAAATTATCTTGCATATGTTGTCTTATTGACAGTGAAATAAACCAATCTTAAATTGTCAATGTGATTAGGGCAGCCAATGAACCGATATGCTTGATAAGCTGCTGTTCTTCAGCTTGGCAAGCTTGCTCATGATTTTTAATTAACTAATCAAATTAGCCTTTATATTTTTTTAATTGTTAACTGATAAATGAACAAGCTTGAATAACATGGTGCAATATTCATTTGTATTATGAATTATATAATTTTAAATTCATGAAAAAGCTCATTAAAATTTTCTATTAAGGCTCAATAATACGCTCACTTAAGTATTAACGATAAACTTATTTAAGAAATGATTACAAATTTATTTAATAAGTGATTTTGTGAATATTTTTTTTCTTTATTACATTTTTTTTTTTCATGCACATTATTTCTTTATGCTTGATTAATTAGGGTTTGTTTGGGATTATTTTTGTTTTTTATTTTAAAAATATATTTGCTTGGTATATTTTTGCATATTTTTATATATTATTTTAAAAAATAAATTAGCTTGTTTTAAAAAAAACTCAAAACATCTAAATTTTATTTTGAATGTTTTTAAAAATAATAATGTCATAACTCGACCCAGGGCTTGAAATTAATAAGATGAGTACAGGCAGTCGGACGATTAAAAGTAAATTTTCTATTATTCAGTTTCATATTATTAATTGGTTAAAATCAAAAACATAAGTCATTAAAGAAAACAAATTAAAATAATATGATTTTTTAGCTTAGCTCAGATTGTCGTTGTATTTTATAAATATTTTATACTCTATTATTCGTCTTACAATCCAAAAATTAAACCTGAAATATTAGTTTAAAACAACATTGAGCTGATCTAGCCAGTGAATACTCATACTCTTAAACTATAATAACGAAATAAAATAAAAAATAATATGCATACTAGTTAAATTTTTTGTAAGTTAATATAAGAGCATATGATGATTTGTATTATCTAATATGATTATTTAAGTAGATTCTAAACATTAACTATATCTTACTTTATCGTTTATATATCAATATATATTTTTATTCTATGTATAATCGTCATAGGAGCACCGTCTAAAACTTATATCAATCAAGACACATCGATATCAATATTATTTTCCATTTTACATAGACGTGTGTATACCGTACTTTTCTACTGCTAGTACCATGAATGAGTGAACTCAATCATAGTTAAACATACACAAACAATTACTCAATATAGTCTATAACATTCCCATTTTTATGTCGTTCAATATGTAATATATAGTACAATAATGACTAAATTTTTCATAATAAGAAACTATAAGCATTCATATTGAATCAACTGATAAAATTTAAAAATAGAGGAATCATAATGCATTAATCAACCATAAATAACAGTTCATATGATTGATTTATAAGAGATATAAAAATACCATTATAATTTAAGAGAGAGTACTCAACTTGATTTCACCTTATAAAATGATTACTTCCAAATTCTTTAACCTGTTGTTTTGCTTATAATTCATGATTCACATTTTCATCATAATTAAATACTAATAAATGAAATTTTTCTTAATAAACTTAAGCTTTACTATCTTTTCTCCTCTTCATTTGCATAAACATTGATCTCGGCCTCCCTTAATCCTCAATTCAACTGCTTGACAATTCATAATCACTAATATTAATTTATAGAATTTAATATAAATTAATAAAATTTAATTAATTTTGTAAAACAATTTATATAAATAAAACTATAAACTCTACTCACGGATCAATTCTCAATCCTGCACGCATGAACTTCCTTTTCCTTTTTTCGTTCGATTAAGGCATGGTTTGCACTAACCTGCTCGACTTGATTGCGTGTGACACTGCTTCGACTTCGCAAGAGTGCACTTTCATCCCCTTCTCCTTCTTCCTATTCACGCACAAAGGCTCACTCCTCCTTCCTCCTGCTCTTGCTTCCAAATGTAGAAATCACAATAATTTGTGCTCATCTCGCTCCCGAGAACAATACCACATCCTCGTCTCATACCCTCATCCTTGATATCATAAGCACAATGAAATCGTAGCTTGAAATCACCTCCTTTAAACAAAGATGAACACAACTCTTGAAATATCTTGAAGTACATATCCAAAGCAATTGTCTAATTCACGTCAATTGCGGTCTGGACTCCTAAATTAATCGTGTCAACGCCGCTATTATCTGGGTCAGGGCATTCGTCTTCACATTTATAGCAAGTGGTACTTCGTCATTTTCCATTGGATTTCTCGCTTTTATAATCTCGAGTGTATTCCATTGCCTGAATGGATTTAATTAGTTAATTAGAGTTAGTTTTTCAATTTATTATTTTTTTTTTTTTTGTAATTATCCTATTTGCTTTTTCATCAAGATTGCACTAATTAATCATGAACCTTGCTCTAATATCACTTTTGTCATGACACAACCCAAGATTTGGGAATAACCAAGGCGATTATAGATTACCGGATGATGAAAATTAAATTTTTTATTATTCAATTTTCTTTCATTAACAATTTATAATTCAAAATAAATGAAAGTGACTAAAGAAAACAAATTAAAATAATACAACATTTTACTCTAGCCCATGTTGTCTGCTTCTTCTAAAAATATTTTTTATTCTATTGCTCATCTTACAATCAAATAATTAAGCCTGAAATGTTAGATTAAAGCAATACTCAACTAATCATTGCTAAAGAAGACTCATATTCCTAAACTATAATAACACAATGAAAAAGAAAATAATATATATGTCAGTTAAATTTTTTATAAGTTAATATAAAAGTATATGACAATTTGATATCTAATATGATCATTTAAGGTTATTCTAAATATTAACTGTCTTATTGTATTTTTTTACGTATCAATATCTTTTTAATCTATATACAACTGTCACAGGAGTATCATTTAAAATTTTTACTAATGAGTCACATTAATATCAATATCATTTTTCATTTGTGTATGGGTACTTAAGTATTCCATTTCTAGTACCATAAATATGTGGACTCCATAATAGTCAAACATGCACAAGCAATCACTCTATATAATCCATAACATTTACTTTTGCATGTCATTTAATATATAATTTGTAATACTATAATGACTAAAACTTTTCACAATGAGAGACTATATGTATTCATATCAAAATGTCCCATAAAACTTAATGAACTTGTCCTGCATCTGTTTTCGAGCGGATAAGGGAATAAACCACTCTTTGGAAATTTCCACAAAATCCTCCAAGTGTATCATCATTTCGGGTATGTCTCATAACCTGTGCTAACGCTGCTCACGTCACCATCTTTCCGCTTCTCCATCAAACACAAACGTAGATAAAGGTATTCTTCTTTCATACCAAGTTATCTAATTTTTTCTCTGCAAGCATCAACCAATTTTCAGTTTAAATCAGATCTTTAGTTCCCTTAAACAAAGGTGAACACAACTCTTGAAATATCTTGAAGTACATATCCAAAGCAACTATCTAATTCCCTCCAAATTGTGGTATGGACTACTAAATCAATTGTGTCATCGCCACTATTATCTAGGTCAAGGCATTCTTGCACACATTTATAGCAGGCAATACTTCATCATTTTCTACCAGATTTCCCTCTTCTATAATCTTGAGTGAATCCTATTGCCTGAATGGAATTAATTAGTTAATTAGAGTTAAATTTTTTATTTTATTATTATTAAATTTTTTTGTAATTCTCTTATTTGCTATTTCATCAAGATTGCACTAATTAATTCTGAACCTTGCTCTAATACAACTTTTGTGATGACACAATCCAAGACTTGGAATTAACCAAGGCGATTCTAGACGACCAGACGGTGGAAATTAATTTTTTTATTATTCAGTTTCTTATCATTAACAGTTTATAATAATAAAAAAATGACTAAAGAAAATAAATTAAAATAATGCAACTTTTTACTCTAGCTCAGGTTGCCAGCTTCTTCTAAAAATATTTTTTTTTTCTATTGGTCATCTTACAATGAAATAATTAAAC